GTCGACGTAGTACAAGCCAAGAGAAGATATAGACAAGCGGAGGTCATGAGCGTTTGTGGATCAACAGATTCTCATGTAGCGGATTAAATCACATACAAGCAAGGAATGAAAAGCTTGGGTTATACACCGGATGAAGATGAAATGAGTCAGACGGAAGAACATGAGTTCTACAGTGGCTTGATCAACAAGATAGGCGAGAGGTGCTTTTCTGCAATCAAGAAGGTCACTTCAGAATGTCCTCTTTTTGGAAACAATGAAACAGTGAAAAATCTTAGTCACCCTAAACACAAATAAGCACTTGCAGTTGTGCAAAAAACTAGGAATAGACAAGCTGAGAAGGACTTACACGACAAAGACGAGGCAAGTTGTGAGTTATCGGCGAAATCAGTGAAGGCCGTTACCAAAGAGAGAGAGTTGCGGGGGGGGGGGGGGGGTAACGACAAAGTTTCATTGGAAATAAAACCAGATAAAACCAGAGGCTATCAACAACGTGAAAAAAGACTTGGCGACAAAAGAGATCGAACAGAGGCTGAAGCAGGAAATAGAAAGACAGCAGAGAAACGAGACAATTTCAGCGGGGACATTAGAACCCGAGTCAGGAGACAACCTGGAAGTCAGGAGCAATTGCAACACGCTGAAAATGGAGACTGCAAAACTCTTTGGGATCACAAAGATTGGGGCGAGAATCATGTCAATAATCACCATCGGCGTCCATGAGGTAACGAGGAATCTGAGCGAACCAAGCGACCAGACACTGGTGCACATAGATGTATATGGTGACTATTTGCAAACCATCAGCCCACAGACACCTTCAAGAGCACTCAAAGCGTTACTCACGAGAGTTGGTGAAAAAATCAATAAGGTTAGACCGCAGATACACAGAAGCCTAGGGTCCACACGAGTTCATGTTGAATATAGATGGAATCAATATCTACACGAAGACAATGATAACGTGTGACGAGGACCTTGCTGGTCAAATCTATGTAGATCGAGAGGAGCTCAAGGTGTGGTCGATTGGGCATTGTGCCATGCTAGAAGAAGACCCAATTGAGAGGACTACTGGATACGGGAGCTGTCTTGAGCGTCATACCAATAGAAACAAGGAGAAGTATGGGATTTTACAAGGAAGATCTGATAGACTCCAAAATTCGATGGTCAGAACACCAATAATAGCCTTGAATCTGGGGGACCGCAACCTGTGGATGAGTTTTCTGGTGGTGGAGAACTTAGATGAGTCGGATCAATTTGTTCTAGGAAGAGATTTCATCAGAAATTCCGATGTAACGATTGATCTTAACAATGCGATTTTCGGGATTCAAAATCCGGAAATGAAGTAAGTAATTAAACCGGAAAATTTGATAATGACAAATGGGAGTAAAGCTCCAGCTTTCTTGAATAGGAGGGTGAGGAACCCAACGAGGCTGCAATAGTAAGTTTGAGAATAAAGAATAATAATGAACTAAGGGACAACAGGCAGGCATGTATAGTAACAAACCCAATTAGCCAAAGTGCTGCTATTTTAGGAAGATCATTCTCGATCACCAAGAGTCGCCTCTGCGTCAGTGTCTGGTTGAATACTCTTGATATACCAATCACAGTCCATAGGAGGAGGAAACTTGAATACGCGCTGCGATGAAAACTCAATATGAAATGACTGAAAAGGTTAAAAAATTATATGAAGTTCTTGATTGTCCGAATCACAGGGACAAAAATTGGGTCTTGAGTAGATAGAAGAAAATAAAGATTTTATCAGGTCTTGTTAAGTCACTTAAGTCAGAAACGGAGGATGGATTTTTGAGCTGATCGAGTTTTCCAGAAAGACTCGCTAAGAGGATTTGGAAATGGACAGGGAGGGGGGGTGCATGACCCCAAACAAATCGGATGCATGTAGAAAGGAAATAGAAACAATACTAGAGTACGATATGATAGAACCATCCAAATCACCATGGGCATGTGGAGTTTTGATGGCCAAAAAGAAAGGAGAACAACTGAGATTTTGTTGCGACTTTCGGCATCTGAACTTCGTCACGGTGAAGAATGCCAATCCCATACCTAGAATAGATGAAAGTCTTTCAAAATTGAGGGATGCAAAAGTTTTTACAACTCTTGTTCTGGAGTCATGTTTTTGGCAATTGCCACTTAGGAAGCAAGACAGGGACAAGACGGGGTTCGCTTGCGGGCTAGGACTGTTCCCATGGAAGAGGAATCCCTTTGGCCTTTGCAACGCAACGGCCCCATTTCAGCCACTAATGGCACAGGCACTAATTAGAATGACGAAGAAGTACGGTAACTTGGTTATGTGTTACGTGGACGATGTGGTGATTCCGACACCAACCCTGGAGGACCACATTAAACGGCTAGACGAAGTACCGGCATGCACGAGAAGAGCGGCACTAAAATGTAAACCCTTGGAATGTAAGATCTTGAAACATTCGATCAAATATCTCGGGAGGATGGTAGACAAACCTTGCATCCGACCATACTCAGATGCGGTAGAGGCACTTTGACTTGGAAGTCACCAAAGACTGAGCATCAATTGGTGAGCTTCCTTGGTTTTGCAAAATACTACAGAGAATTCATCTAGGGTTACGCAGACAAAATATGCCCAATGCAGCAGCTCATGAGACACAAAGGCATGAAATTCATGTGAGACAACGCTGCGCATCATTTCAGAGAATAAAGAAAGATTTCTGTGAAGCTCCTGTTTTAGGCATGCCTACGGAGAAAGGCATGTACGCCCTAGATACAGATGCATCAGTGGTTGCGATCTCTGGCATACTACACCAACAACAGGAGTGGAACGGCAAAACCGTCTTGAGGTCAATCGCATACGGAAGCTAACTCTTGAGCAACACGGAAATAAAGTACGGAGCCCCCAAGGCGAAAATGTTTGTGGTAGTCACCTTCGTGGAGAAACACAGGGCGTTTTTGGACAGTAAGCTGTTTAAACTACGGGTCGACATCAGGGCACTCTCTTGGCTCTTTGGCTCAATGGACCAAAGTTACATCGGGAGATGGATACTAAGACTAGATGGTTACAACATGATAATTGAGCACAGGACACGGGACAAGCACCAAAATGAAAACATCTTGAGCAAGAAAACGGAATTTTACGAGAAGCAACAGCAGAGGAAGGCTGATAGGCTTGAAATAATAACGTGGATTCTCGTTCGAGGACAAGGAATCATACGATAGCTTAATACTCACAAGATGGCTCGTTAAAGCAGGTAAACCGATCAAAGACCATCCTGATTTACCAACTGAGCTCCAGCAAACAACACTTCTAAAGAGACAATCCGGAGTGCCGGTGGAAGTCCTGCTCAAGTCAAAACTGGCCAGAGAGACGTTGAATGCGAAAGTTTACGATCTAGAGGAAGTTGAAACAGGAAAAGCAATGCTAGGACAGGACTTAATGAACTTGCATCAGAAACCAGCCGACAACAAACCCGTGGACTCAACCAGGAGCGATGATGAACCAGAAGGCACAATAATGAGAAGGGAAGGAGTTGCCTTGCGTGACAAAAATTTATTGAATGCTGGAGATCCAGAGAGTAACGAGGTGGTACGAACATTAGTCGAGGAAATATTCAAGCAAACGGAAGAAATACTCAAGCAAACAACGCTATGGAGGAAAAGAGTGTCATTTAAAGAGGAAGCTGAAGAACTTACACTAAATCATGAGACCGGGGAGTGGTTGTCAAACGAGAAGGAAGTCGAGAAGGAAAATTTGTCCGGGGAGGCAAAAGAATGGGACGAACACTCGGTAGAAAGTCAAGATGGTCCTGCTAAAGCTGCTTAATCGTCCAGAAAACAAAACTAATTGATCTAAACCTATTTACTTAAAGCTTCGAGAGAGATCATAGTTACCTAATTTACTTGCATCGAGAGTCGTGTCGGTGTGTGAGAACTGAATTTCATTTCATGAGTGCATTTCATGCGATTATGTTGAGATAAAGCGACTTTTAGGTTGATCCATCTGACATGGATCATATGTCCCCTGTCTAATAAAACTTATGATACACTAGAGCTTTCGACCCTGTTTTTAATGGCGTTCGAGTGTTTTAGTTTTTAAGAGACCTGGCTATGGGGGCGTTCATATTTCTAGAGTGGGGTAGTTTTGTAGTGGCCTTTAATCGATGAAACGATTTGAAGTCTCATGTCTTACACGAACGGAATTAGCTCCTACTGAACGAGGTGTAAAAGCACAAGACATAGTGTATAGAGAGTTGCAAAAAGTTCGGACAGACAGAATTAATTAAAAAGTGCAATCGTACCATTTGACTTTTGCATGCAATTTCTTTTTTCATACAACCTTGAGACACAAAATTGGACTGAAAAATTAGATTTTGCATGCAAAATATTTCCAAAATAGGTCAATTGCTCTTTTTAATTAATTTTGTCTGTCCGAACTTTTTGCTACTAATTATACCTGACCCTTGAGCCATTGGTTATAAGGCCTGTTTTTCTTAGCCTGATGTGACATAAGTAGGCGACTGTTACAAAATACATCTGGACACAAATAACTAGAAGGTCTATAGCTTCTGTATATACACTTCGAGCTTCGAGTAGCTACACTTCAGAGTACTCGTAAACCCTGAATACCATACTGTTTCAGCGATCGTTTTGTATTCGGATATGCGACCACACCCTAAGTGGTACCAATTGAAACAGGCTTCGCATTCCACCGCTTAAGTTCGATATAACACCTATTTCTGACGTCCAGGGCAGACTTTCTTGTTATCTTCATTTAGCACAGTCAATTTTGGTACTTCTTTCTTTAATGCAGGTTCATATTTTTTGAGCCACAAACTATCATTTATACTCCAAGGGAGAGGCTCAATGCTAAAACGTCTTTTTGTTAATACCACAAAACTTTGCATTTAAAATGTACCTTAATAACTGCCAAATTTAGTTTTTTTCTCATAGTTTTGCTATATATTTGCGGAGGATTGATTTGCTCATATAACCTCCTCAGGACTACTTCAACAGCTTCCTTGAGTGGGACCTAAGTGTACGAACTCTTTACATCAAGGGAAATTATACTCTCATCAGCGTCCAATTCTGTTTTCTCAAGGAAAATACTGCCAAATTTAGTATTTTTTTATAGTTTTGCTATATATTTGCGGAGGATTGATTTGCTCATATAACCTCCTCAGGGCTACTTCAACAGCTTCCTTGAGTGGGACCTAAGTGTACGAACTCTTTACATCAAGGGAAATTATACTCTCATCAGCGTCCAATTCTGTTTTCTCCAAGATCTCCTTGGCCATTTGAGTGTTCGTTTCTATGTTTGCCCCTCAATTTTATCAAAGTATCTTGCCATTGTTTAACTTAGGTAGTCATATGAGCTACCAGGTAAAGAAAGGATGGGACGAAGTGGTGTGCCTTGTTTGTGCACTTTTGCTAATCCATACAGCATAGCCGGCTGCGTACCCGTTGATCTTAACCGTAATCAGGCACGCGAACAGTTAAGATCATATTCAAGTCAATACGTCCGTCTGCCACAAAAGTTTATACACATATTGCAAACATATAATTGGTTGTTTTTTTAAAAATTATTTTATATTATCAAACGTCCTAGGTTATTTGTATGAGCGATGATCTCATATCTAGATTTCAACTTTTTTACAAAGAAGCGAAAACGTTCGTAATTAAAGCGTTACTCATTTGCTCCAGGATAGATTGTGTTGTATATTAAATGGCTGAGTGCCTTGATCTGTTGAAAGATGATGGGCTGGCTGGTTTTGAATCAAATTTGTTTGACAATGCAGTCGATTGGTCGGGCCATGAAAACAACAAAGATGAACAACAACTCGAAATACAAATTTTGGAGTCCATGTTTCCAAAAGAGCTTGAAGTTATTTCATCGAGCGAAGAACACGGTTGCCGAAACACGTTACAACTGGCGGTTCATGTTAATATCATATCTAAGCCTATATTGATCGAGCTATGGGCTTCTGGCAACGATGGGGTTGATTGTTCAGTCGTAGATGCCGTTGCAAAGAATCGACCTGAAACTGAAAGGCCTGTTTTCAATCGAACGATATCTGGTAACCGCCTGTATACTTCAATGTTTGTTAATAATCTTACACCGGTCATCCTAACATTGGTACTTCCCGAAACATATCCTGTGGAAGCATGTCCCGTTTTCACATTGTCTTGCCAGTGGCTTTCTTCGACACAGTTGTCAGCTGTCGCTACGAAACTAGAACGTTTATACACTGAAAATCAAGGAGAGCAGATTTTGTACATATGGGCGAACTGGATTCAAAATGATTTGCTTAACAGTCTGTCTCTTCAAAGCGTTTTAATTATTGACGAATTGGAAACCGTTTTAGATCCGAGAATCTCTATAGATGATACAGATTCATTTGCGAGATTCGCCGAGGTTGTAACTTACGACTTCTCTTTGACTGAAAAACAGTTTTTGACCGAACTACAAACGTGTTTAGTGTGCTACAAGGAAGACTCAGGCTCAAATTTCATAAGGCTCATTCCATGCCTTCATCATTATTGCTTTGATTGTATTACCGAATTTTGTACCATGCATGTACAAGACGGGACGATTGGTAAGTGTGTGTCTGAAAGAACAGGTTTTATAATATAACATGCAGTTTGACGACTTTCTTCGCTTTGGCTAGGTCAGTTAAGATGTCCTGACGATGACTGCAAAAATTCAATAAGTCCAGATGTGCTGAATAGAGTTCTAGGGGATGATCATTACGCCCGTTGGGAGCGTCTCATGGTGCAAAGATCACTAGAAGAAATGGGAGACATTGCTTGGTGTCCCAGGTGCTCTAATCCAGTAGTCAAAGTAAGATATCGAGCTACTAGAAAATTGATAGAAAACATGTACCTTTGTCAATAACTTTTATGTAGGTAAGAATAGCTTATGGCTGAGGTTTTTAGAATTAATCTCATGATCGTCATCGTTCTTGTTTTTTTTTTCAACATTTGCAACAAAAACATTGAAAAATGGCTTTCTGAAAATGAGATGACACCAAATGCAAAGAAGTCTCATATTGTAAACATTAAAGGAGCACTAAAAGCCAATCTCATGGGCAGTCCTCTGGAGCCAGTTGGATCCCAACGTGACCTAGGGTTCATTGTACATCAAAACCTGACTGGGCTGAAAATTGTCAGATACGTTCCAAAAAGGCAATGAATGCGCACTTTCAAATCTATATTTATTATTTATTCAAATACGGGCTTCACTATCTCGCCATGCTTAAGCTTTTTCAACATATTATTTTTACATGGTTAAGCTAAATCGTATATTGCAATGGTTAAGATTTTTTTTTTGAATTTTCGAATTTAAATTTAGTGTTTATTTCATCAAGTTTGAATTAAGCAACTCAATAGTGGGATGCTGTCAGGGTTCTCCCAGCTTTTGTGATTCTGGCTTCATATATGAATAACCAATCCTTTTAGTTTACGAGATACGGTAATTTCGGAGATTTTTCATAAATTTCTACAAAATATAATTTAAAAAAGTTTCTCAGTTTTTTAAATTCTCACTCTATAATTGGGCGTTGTCAGGGTACTCTCAGGAATTGCGAATCTTGCCTCGAAATCTCTTTTTTCAAATCTTTAGTTTTCGAAATAAGACGTTTTGTTGTGACTTTTTCCAAAAAAGTTAGATTTTAAAAAATTCGAAAACTTCGATGATCTCAATCCTGTTGTTGGAAACTGTGAGGGTACTATCAGGGGTTTCTCTGAATATGGCTGCTCAAATCCTTGTACTTTTCGAGATATGATGTTTTCGTGGATTTTTTAAAAAATTTCCAGAGAACTTAGATATAAAAAATTTCACACAATTTGAAAGTCTCATCTCTATATTGTAGTTTTCCAGATATGACGTTTTTGGTGATTTTTCACAAAAATTCCCGAAAACTTTAGTTAAAACGTTTTTTTCAAAGTTTGCATTTCCTAAAATGATTGGAGGCTGTCAGAGTAATCTCAGGGGTTTCTAAGGCCTCCCAATCTTATTTTACTAGATACGACAATGTTTTCTGTGATTTTATCAGTAATTTTCAGAAAACTCAAGTTACAGAATAATTCACAAAATTGAAATTCCCAACCCTGTACTTGTATGCTGTCAGAGTACTTTCAACAATTGCAAATATTGCCTACAAAGAAAACTGTCACAATTTTTGGTAGTTTTCCAGATGTGACGTTTTATCTGGTTCTCAAAAAATATCTTACGCAGACTTACTGGAAAAGCGGTTTTGAGGCAATGCTCTGAACGGATTTCAGACTTGTTACAACCTCATCAACTGGGCCTTGGATCTCGTAACGGTTGTGAGACGGTTATCCACAGTGTCAGAGACTTCATGCACAACTCGGACCTTCAGGACATTGTTATGGTCAAAATTGATTACCAAAACGCATTTAACTCGATCCGACGTGATCACATACTTACAACAACTCAACGTTTCATGCCTGAATTATATCTATACGTCAATTCCTGCTACCAAGACACAAGCAAGCTCATCTACAATGATTCAATCATTGACTCCGCTGAAGGTACACAGCAAGGCGACACTCTCGCCTCCCTTTTATTCTCTCTCGGTATCCGAAAAATTATATCACAGCTCAAAGCAAAATTGAACAAGTGGTATCTGGACGATGGCACAGTTGGCGACAAATGGAGAATTGTGTTGAATGACCTGATTGCCTTACGAACAGCAAGCGAAGAAATTGGCCTGCAATTCGAGGTTAGCAAATGGGAACTCGTTATTCTGGACCAGCAGCAGAAGGACACAATTGTTAATTCTTTTCAGGCACACTTCCCCAACATAAAAATCATTCACCCAGAGAATGCGGATCTGCTTGGTACATCTCTTGGCGAAAATGCTTTTGAGGACATAATTAAGAAGAAACACGATAAACTGAAAACTTTGTGTGAAACTCTAAGCACTTTAGACAACCACGTCGCACTGTTTTTGCTGCAAAACTGCCTCGGCATCCCCAAACTACAACACATCTTACGTAGCACGCCCTGTTTCCAACAGCCTGCGCTGCATGCCATAGACCTTACACTTAAGGAAGCTGTAGAATCAATTTTGAATGTAACTTTGACAAACGAATCTTGGACTCAATCAGCACTGCCGATTAAACTTGGTGGCCTGGGTATCCGCAGAACAGCAGACGTTGCCTTGCCCGCTTTTATTGCGTTAACCAAATCTTTCATTGCGAATGGCGGCAACACAGACGGTGCCACGGGAACCCTTTTATCGAGAGCAATTGAGGCCGTTACCATTATTTCTGGAAAATCGTGCCCAGACACAACAAAACAGGGAACTATCGATGAGATACTCTGCCTGAACACCCGCAGTCGACTGCTAGAAAACGCCGATGAAAACTTAGTGAAACGTGTCAACGGAGCGAGCTGTTACGGCGCAGGTGACTGGTTGAGGGCCCTACCGTCTGCTCCCCTCGGACTAAAGCTAACCAACAACCAACTGCGTGTAGCTGCGGCAATCAGGATCGGTGCACCAATTTCTCAAGGCACACTTGTGTCTGTGGCACCACTGTTGACCAATACGCTATTCACGCATTGCACTGCACTAAGTCCTCCGGTAGACACTCTCGCCACTCATCTTGCAACAACATTTTAAAACAAGCTTTCTCGACCTCGAACATCCCATCTGTATTGGAACCCCAGAATTTGTATCGCATTGATGGCAGACGCCCCGACGGACTCACCCTGGTTCTATGGGAAAGAGGAACATCGCTAATCTGGGACTTTACATGCATTGACCGTCTTAGCCCAAGTTACACGAACGATGCTCTCTACGCCGGCCCAAAAGTTGCCGAAAAAGCAGAAGATCGGAAACGAGCCACTTATAATACACTACAGCGTGACTATATATTTGAACCCGTCGCTGTTGAAACGCTAGGAGGATATGGCCCCTCGACCACGGTCTTCCTCAAAAAATTGAGCAAGCGACTGAGAGTGGCCACCCTGGAAGAGAGAGCCGGAGCCTTTTTTCGACAGCGTTTAGGCATCGCTGTCCAAGTGGGGAATGCCGCGTCTATCCTTTTTAACCTGACGGCTGAAAACGCCATTCCAGAGGAATTTTAGCGAAGCTTTTCACACACTTTACAATCCACAATCCACGGTGCTCTTATTTGTTTTATATTCTACACAAATGTGCATTTAATTATCTGCTATTTTTGTAAAAAGGCTAGTAGCCTTCTTAAATTTTTATGGCTGCTTAATTTAAAGTTTTCTTTTTCTTTAAAAAACTTAGATTTAATTTTTTTTTTAAATTTGAAGCTCCCAACGTTTAGTTGAGTACTGTAAGTGTACTCTCAGGAGTTGCTAATCTTGCGTTCAAATGCGACTGCTCAATTGCTTTTGGTTTCCGAGATGTGACGTTTCTTAGTTTATTTTAAATTTTGTCATAGAATTTTTATAATATTTCACCAAATTTTATGGTTTTTCAAAATTTGTTGTAATAAAACTTGAATAAAAAGCTTGGCAAATTTTGTAATAACGAACCCTTAATTGTGTGCTGTTAGAGTTCACTCAAAGGATGCAGATTTCATTTCCAATATATGCGGTTCTATATGAGCTGTTAAAAATTCGAAGCAACGGAGGTGCGCTACACGCTAGTATTATTTAATTGAGCTAGATATTTCCAGCCATGTTTTAGAGTTCCCTATGTTGACTTGCTTAAGAATTTTACGTTATCTACATGTTTCAGCTTGAGTCTATATTTACATAGCTCTGCTGTGTATATATGTTTAAGCCTTTTTTGCTAACATGCCAATTTTAAGCATCTACGAATCTTTTTATCCATCTTTTTTTATCTATCTGTTTACCCATCTTTTTTATCTATCTTTTCATCTATCATTTTTTTCTTACTGCTTTAAATCTTTTTTAATCTAAATTTTATCTACCTTCTTATCTAAACTTTTGTCTATCTTTTTTCTGTCATTTGTATCTATTTTTTTATCTATCTTTTTTTTCTGTCTGTTTATCAATCTTTTTTTTCTATTTTTTATTTATCTGTTTATCTATCATTTGTAGCTAGCTTTTTCATCTAACTTTTTTTATATCTTTTTATCCATCTTGTTTCTCTATCTTTTCATCTATCTTTTTTTCTGTCTTTCTCATCTATTTGTTTATCTATTTTTTTAAATCTATTTTTCGATCATCATTTTTGTCTTTCTTCTTATCTGTCATTTGTATCTATCCTTTTATCTATCTTCCGTCCATCATTTTTCTCTATCTTTTTTATCCATCTGCATAACTATCTTTTTTATTTATCTTTTTTCCTTTCTTTTTTTAATGCTTTTTATCTATCTTTTTTATCCTACTTTTTATAAATCTTTTTTATCTATCTGTTTATCTATCACATTTTCTATCTCTTTTTTATCTATCTGTTATCTATTTTTTTACCTATCTTTTTTATCTATCTTTTCATCTATCATTTTTTTCTTACTGCTTTAAATCTTTTTAATCTAAATTTTATCTACCTTTTTATCTAAACTTTTGTCTATCTTTTTTCTGTCATTTGTATCTATTTTTTTATCTATCTTTTTTTTCTGTCTGTTTATCAATCTTTTTTTTCTATTTTTTTATCTATCTGTTTATCTTTCATTTGTAGCTAGCTTTTTCATCTAACTTTTTTTATATCTTTTTATCCATCTTGTTTCTCTATCTTTTCGTCTATCTTTTTTTCTGTCTTTCTCATCTATTTGCTTATCTATTTTTTTTCTGACTTTTTTATATTTTTTTAACCTATCTGTTTATCTATTTTTTTAAATCTATCTTTCGATCATCATTTTTGTCTTTCTTCTTAT